GTAGGTTGTCCCTCATTCGTTGCCAACTCCGGGCGTCCAGTACAACGGGGGTTTTAATATTTATAAATGGAGACACATCTTCAAAGGGATAATAGTGTTTCTTATCAGCAACCCAAGGATGAAACTGTTTCTTCACTAGTACTCCGTACGGATCCATCGTATAGGCTGTCTAGTTAATTTCCCTCCTGCTCTCTTTCGACTATGAGTTGGGAATGATAACGCCGAAGATTTTTTTTTCCTGTGACAAACATCAAGAGGGTAGCGGAAAAAGCAAAGAATCACAAAGTACTCTACCCATTCAGAGTGCAGGGGTGAAAAGGAAAAGGGTCGACAGCCAAAGCGGGCCTCATTAGTGATGAGTTAGTGCCGCCCTGGCTCCTCCATGCCCGAGTTTTGGCATGTCTAGACCCTTCCGACAGGCTAACAGCCTTACTTTTGAAGTGACCTCTCTCCAAAAGAAGCACGGTTCTGTGTACTTCTCAGAGGGGCCTGGTAACTCTGGAGTACTCCATACTGGGACAGCGGGATCAGCTTTTCTTTCTTGAAAAAGGGTTATTTCTGCCACTCCGTATGCCCTTGATCCATGTGGTCTTGGGTTGATCGACTAACCCTGACAAATCCTATTTCAGTACTTTGAAAACTTTCAGTTTTTCTTCGTCTTTACTTACACTGGAAAGGTGGGGAGAAGAAAAGAACGAAAAATTGGCATGTTTTCTTTTCCGACATCCCTTCAGCCACCACCACATCTCCAATCCCTCCCTTTTGCAGCCTGAAAAATCAATATGGACGGCGTCAAATCTTTCTACTGGTCAGAATCCATGCATCTTTCTGCATCAGCCAGTCATTCCCTCTTGGGTCCCCTTAAAAACAATGCTGACTACTATGCAAATCGGTTGTACCTTGCAAGGTGCTAGAGAGTACCTGGTCAATGAGTGGAAAGGTAAATATCCATTCAAGAAAGACAACCAGAGCTGCAACGTTTCTCCAAATCATATTAATACTTCTCTCTGATATTTGATCGTTGCCCGCCCTCTCCGTGTTCCTGTTGAGGTGCCAGGAAAGTCCCTTTCCGAGCATTCCAGAGCTCGGCCCGCCTCTTGCTAGGTTGTACTTTTCTCCTGACTTCTTGTCACTCAACTCAAGCCATTTGCAACCCGATTGCTTATCAGGGCCTCTGGACTCTTCTCATTTTTGTTCTGGGACAACACTCTAGAGCAAAAAGCCCATTCCTGTCTGATTGACTATTAATTGAACCCTGTACCCGCGCTCCCGTCGTTGATCATCTTCAGTCCATCGAGGCTATCCCCGGTTCACATGACGCTAATCCTCAGATCTGTTCTTGTTATAAAATATCTCCGTCCGTGCTGGCGCTTCTGTTAGTCGCGGGTATCTGGTTTAGTTCCACTCTTTATTTAATCGGCATACGCATTCTCGAACGCCAAACAGGTGGGTGTTAAGGATACTGTGGAAACATCTCGCCTGTCAGTGGTATTCTTCTTATTCTCCATCTCGGCCCCTCGTGCTGCTTCAGAAGAACCTCGTTATTCCTCACCGGCTCAGAGGCTATAAGAAAGTACACAGAGGCATTGGGAAGCGAAAGCCAAAATAAACTACTATTTTTGCTTTCCATCTTCAATGGCATGCGACACAGTCTCTCGTTCTTGTGTCAATACCGCTTCCCACAATTCTCATTTTCCCCCTGCCCCCTTCAGTGCAGCTACGATCTCCTCCCGAGCTCATGACATTACCGACCCATCTTCTACCCTTGCGTTGAGGTTGCTCGCTCCTGACAGCTCTATTTTGGAGGATCACAGGAAGCATCAAAACCAGAATCATAGCCAAAGGCCTACAATTGGCCCGCCAGTTGGTTCAGCAGTCATGTCACATCATTATCAGCACCATGACGAGGACCAAGAGTACACATACGGCAGAAACAATCAATACAGTTTTTCGCAACCTTCCTTCAACCAATCTTATTCGAACCATCAGGTTCTAGCACCATACAATCATCATTCCACGGAGACGGCCTCCATTGCCCCATCCTACTCCTCACAGCAAGCAATATATACGCAAGCTCCGCAACACTCCTCTCTCATCACCCATTCGTCGTCTACGGGGTATCAATGTCATCCTCAATATATGTCACAGCCCAGGTTTCCAGCACCACATCGCCTATTCCCTATGCATGAACCGTTTTGGGAGGTGGAGATTGAAGCCCAGGAATCTTGCAACGAACAAACGGTTTTATCAGAACCTGTTATCCCAGCTTTGGAAGGGTTCCCGGATGTCCGAGAATTTGACCAACTCATGAAGAGGTAAATACCTCTTATTTAGGTTCTCAAGTTCATCCAGTTCAACTCCATGGAAGCTAATTGGGTTGAACAGTTACGTTGATGACCTCTCCGTCAAAAAGCAAGATAAAGCATTGATTCACTCAAGGAGAGCACGAAACATCAAAATTGTGCTTACTGATCCCAAGGATACTGCAATTGAGTCTGCCCAATTTAGGTATGTCTTTCAGACCTTAGACAGGGTCACAGAACGGAAACTATTTTTGGATACCCTAAACCGTGAATACATCAATCCCTCAGCTTGTCTCCTTGTCTAATACTGTTTATTTAGGTTTTGGGTGAAGAAAATGTTTACACTTGTGCCCAAGGACAACAACATTCCTATGGTTTGTCATGCCTTTCTGATTTCATCTGAATCTTTCTAAATGGTTGATCATTCGCTGATAAACCTGTTTTTTAATTGCAGTCGAGAAAAATGATATGTCACGAAGGGAAACCAGTAGCAATTCGCGAAAAACTCTTCAAAATCCTGACTCGAGCACATCAGCAATGCCAACATGGGGGTCGTGATAAGACTTCGGCCCAAGTTCGGAGGATATATTCATGGTAAGCCACGCCGTTTGTGAGCCAGGAATCGCCGGCCATTAAACGCTGTCCTTAACACACACACACACTAGAAAAGCCAACCTTATTGACACGCCACCTCTTCTAGGGTCCCAAAAGAATTGATATCTCGCTTTGTTAAAATATGTCCAACATGTCAGGTCCGGAGAGGAGGATCTCGATTAACGCCTCCGACATCTTGCAGAAGTTCTCCTAAACCTGATCATGCACTTGGTCCCTCCCCGTATCTCTTATCACCGCCAGATTCTCGCCGGGAATCCATTATCAGCAGGCCAGGGGTTCCATATCCTGCACGAGCAGAAGCTCCACACGCTACTCAATCCAATATTCCATCTGCACTAACCTGGCCTCCAACCCCACACCACACAAGCCTATCGAGCCAATACCATAATTCACATATGCATCCTCTCCCTTCGACAGCTAGTAGCTGGGCTTCACTTCCTCGAACGCTGACATCGGGTAGTGAAACAAATGGGACTGGAGGGGGCACCCATGGGCTATCGACGACATTGTCCATGCCTTCAAGCCATTTGGATTACCAGCCCACCTATGATGAGGCCCAACATCTCCCGGAACCCCATCCCTACTAGGAAACCATAATATTCGAGGAATGAACTTCGGATAACAATCAGTTCCAATGGTCAATGCATTCGGATGGGACCCATAAAGTTAAGCTTGACCATTCCGCGGATTCTCCGACGTGGTGCGGGATATTGTGCGCAATGTTTTCTCTATTTCGTCTTATCTCTGGCTGTGTTCCTTTTCTCGACTCTTTTCCCCTTTTCTCTTTAAACCCTTCGTATGACAAAACAAGGCCATAGCTTCATCCTGGACTTTTATTATGATGAAAAAAAAAAAAAAAATCCCTTGAGGAACTACAAAGAAGGAAACCAATTCTCTAATATATCAATACTAATGACGGAAGCCCACGGAAACCCAGGAGCGCAAAAGTTACCCACAACATAACTATATGACACTTTCAAACGTTTGATTATGGGAAATGCAGGGTGTTAAACTGGATATGGAAGCAATTTTTCAACGTTATCGCATGGAAGGACAGGGAAACACTTTGGGAACATCTTCACAATTTTTTTTTTTTTTTTTTTTTTTTTTTGAGCTTTTTCTCCTTGATTACTCTTTCTTGGTTTTCCTACTTTATTTTATCTTTTGCTTTTCCTACTTCCACTTTAGGTTTATTCTTGCTATTTTTTGCTTTTCGCGGGTATCCGTATGAAGAGAGTTACAGCTTTGTCATATCAGACTGACTCTCACGTCAACTAAGGGCAATTCAAATGTATCATTTTCCTCCCATGAGAGTTGCCTTGCACCAAGTAACTACCCGTTTTATACGTGGTACAGCAGGTGGCTGCAGGAAACCTTGATGCTACGGACTCAAAACTTATTATTCTAACTGGTTTTATGCGCCAGGTAGTTTTTCTTATTGTTGCTTCGAGTTTATCCCACACAACCTACGGAGTAATAATACTGAGGTAGGGGCATAAATCCGGGCTGTTTGAATAAGTAAATAATAATACATCGCTTTTTGTCTTAGCAACCAATACTGATAACGGTTAACCCCAAGAGAAAGCTAAGAAACAGGAAAATTGCGGATATGTGATAACAAATACAAGCAGAAAATCAATAGTCATATTCCTTCTAAAACAGAGAACATGCCCTGACATTAGCCTAGCCTCATCAATAAACAGAGGAATCAAAATTGTGTTACAGATACCTGGGGACGACATTCCAGACACTGTATTTATTACAGCGTGTCTTGTCGAATTTTTTGTTAGGGCGGGAAAATGGAAAAAAAAAAAAAAAAAAGGAAAGAAAAGAAAAGAAAGAAAGCAAGAGAAGAGAGGGAAAGAAAGAAAGAACCTCATACCGCCTGTTCTTCCTCCCGTAACATCGATTGTGAATGAGTATGAAATTATTAATAGGCAACCCTTCTTCGTAACGGTTATTATCATCAAGGATGGAAGGCAGATTGGCGTTTAACCTAACGTTCTCCTGAAACGTGGTCTGATAAGTTATACTGGCAGGGAGAATTTCTGGCCCTTGAGAACCCTATCGCAAGATATATCGTTAGACATTGAATATAGGCCGAACCATTAAGCTTAGGGATACTAACTTTTGGAAATAGATCCAGAAGAAGTCGGCGTAAAGAATGGTCTGGATGATACCAGCAACCACAGCAATTGGATCGAAGTATCCGTCGGAGAAGTACCGGTAGATCCAGTTGGGAATATACAGAGCACGGTATATACCCAGGGCAAAGAGATAATGGGTTGTTATGGTCTCTGCTTCACCGGTTCGCTGAAGCATGAACAGTTGCGGTAATATGGCAACTGACTCTAACCAGATCGAAAAGGCCCAGAGAATCTAAACTCGAGCAATTGATCCTGTTAGACTCTCTGAACTCTCAATCTTCTTCGTTGACCGAAGAAATCAGAAGTTCACTCACCTCTGAAGCTGTATATTTGTAGGGGAACAGAACTCCCAGAACGGCACTAGCTCCGAGAAGATATACAACTTTGAAAGTATCAATGTTTGGGTCGTTTGTCGGTTTATAATCGTTGAGCATCAGATAAATGGTATATGCGGAAGAAGAGATGAAGAGAATTTTGAAGATAGTGTTGTAAGGCGAGCCGGTGAAGTTCCAGAACAGGTCTAACGAATGTAAAGACACGGTCAGTATGCTGCGCATGATCTTTCCCTTGCCAGGTTGTGTATATGCTCGCGTGTAAGGGGCTAGAAAGTTAAATACCAAGATATCGAGTGACGTAGACTATCAGGTAAAGCGATTGTGACTTGAATGATATCCCCGAACAACTCTGCACCAACGTTAGATTGGAGTAAACATATAGGTTCGAAGTATGCGCATACACTCGATGACTTCATTTTCTGCAGGAGAATAAAGATAGAGAGGAGGTGGGAGATGTCCGCTAGTAAAACCGCTTGATTAGCCAGTTTGTTCTGCAGGAAAATTGACACCAACTAGAGTAATAGGGTGAAGTTGCTTCGTAGGGCATACCGAGAAGCCGGAAAATATTCATCTTGATGGTTCTGCCTAACTAGCCTCGCTTTCCAGGGGTGTATAGAAAGAATGCGATTCCGCGATCAGGGGACGGGATCTAATGGCAGTTGATTTGGGCCTATGAATCGTGGGATTGTAGCTTAATCTGAGGTAGAAGACTCTTCTCCATGCAACCAGTAATGTTGCATCTGACCGCAGAACGTAATTTCCAGTTCCTCCGACTTGTAGAAACTCTGTGGACGTCGAGATTTGAGAGGTGATAGAGAAGTTGTTGATGTTGACACGAAGGCCACAAGATGCGCTTTTTGACTTCCTTAATCAGCTTTAACTTGGACTGGTCAGAAGGGGTCATGTGATTTATCAGTAACGGATTCCTGGATCGCCGACCATGGACTGGACATTGCATTCAAGATGGCAGACTCGGTAATAGAGAACTTAAGAGAGATAGTAACAAGTGTTATTACAATGGAAGCTGGTGGTGTAGAGGGCTCGTCGGGCACAGACTGTGCTGATGTGGGACATGGTTGACTAACTAGATGTTGTCCTGGCTCTTCCTAACTAGCACCACAGTGTTATAAACTATCTCAATGCGGGCGCCAATAACAAAGCATACGACATCGTACCCAGCACTCTCTCTACTGGACGTGCTAGACGCACAGCTCAGTCTACAACGGAGGGCTGCAGGTGGAAGACAATCTAGAAAACTAAAGGGAATCAATACAGGAAGATGCTTAAAAGTCGTTGCACCAAGAGTTGTCACATGACCGATTCCCGATTGGGCAATTCCCGACGTCAATGGAGAAATTGTATGGGCGGAGCTTCGTTTCTGCGTATTGTTCACGCGTGGGCGTCGGTGAGGCCATGTTGCCGGAAGTGATAGAAAGAATTGAATCCGCTAATTGACTTTACGCTATTGATTAATTATACAATGCAACAAAAGAAGCTAGGTGGAGCGTGATATTACGGAAGACTGTATAGTAGGACGGCGCCAAAACCCGACCAGACCAGACCGGATAATGCCACAGCCCCTAAACCCATTTACATGGACTAACTAACGCTTGGGAATTGCATTTCCTGAGGACAACAAAAGTATACAAGGGAGGTTAAAAGGCAACACCGCCTCCGATGCCCTCTGTTTCGGACATTCTCTGGAGATGACCGTCCGCAAGATCGGTTCTTAACGCGGCAGTCTCACTTTCCCTGCATAGCTTCTCCCACTCTCGAAGACATGCCCGCTTCACCCTCTGTTTTTCGGAAATCTGTTCTAAAAGCTTCTCCTTATCCGCTTCTAGTTGGGCCAGTCGTTTCTCTGTTACGGGATCTAGACCGGAAGGCAATAGTCTCCCCCCTGAAACGATAGTAGGAAGGCCAGCTAGATGGTTAGTAACTCTCGGTGGTCGTGGATAGTTTGTGGACACTCCACTCCCATGTCTAAACGGTGGACGTGGCCTAGAATCATGGGCTGTGCCAGGGGCAGGGCTCCCTCCTGCACCGCGAGGGCCAGAGGGAGGGGCACCATGATGCTGGGCGGCGGACGTATGGGAACTGCTACGTCGTACCATGCTAGGACCCAAGCCAGGACCGGGCCTTCCACTTTCACGGGGCCCAGTAGGCGGGCCGTCTCTGTTGAAAGCCGGCCCAGATGCACCTTTTGGCCGTGTAGGAGCTGACAATAGAGCCATATGCCCTCCACGTGCGGACTGTCTCATCGACCTTGAAGCCGCAGAAGGACCAAGAGGTGGAGATCTCCTTTCGGGGATGTTTACACCTTGCGATTGGATTGATGTATTGCTTTCGCTGCGAGAATCCATTGGGGGTTTAACTGTGCTCTGACCACGTTCATATTCATTATCGATAAATGACCTTTGCGGTTCGTTTGAGCGAGGTGACTGCAGACGATGATTGCTTGGGGGGCGTCTAGAGGGTGATGGAGGCCGGCTGGAAGGTCTCCGGTTTCCCTCGGGGAAACGAGATGCATTCGAGTAAGTGTGAGGACTATCATATGGTGGTCGTGACATAGCGTGGGGTGGGCCGTGTCCTGATGAAGCTGAGTAGTTGCGATTTATTCTTTCTGGAACAGGAGGAGAGGATCTTCGAGATGTAGCTGCAGAACCATGCGCAGAGTTAGGACCAGAGCGCTCCGTGATAGATGGTGATCGCGGAGGTGGCGGCGGCCCTCTTGCGCCTGTTGGATCACCTCGTGAGCTCCGTCTATCAGTACTTCTTGACCGCCTGCGGCCATTAATCCTTGAATCTCGCTGTTGCATAATCTCGCTGAAGGGAGGTGATCGTGGTCGGTCGAATCGATTTCGTGGAGGTGAGTTATTTCGTTCTCTCTTTGGTGCCCGAGGTGCGTTGATGGTCGAGGGGGAGGGGTCGCGGCCACGCTTCAAACCTGGACTCCGATTCCTATCAAATGGCGGAGGCGATCGTGACCTTCTATTAAATCTCGGAGGTCTATCACGACCAGGGGATGGCCGTCTGAGAGGAGAACGAGGCCTATTTCCAAAATTAGGGCCCCTTTCACGGCCTCTGAATGGGGGACTTCTTGAGCGTGGCCTAAAGTTATCTGGGGAGCGGCTCCGTGGCCTAGGCCTGCTTGGAGGTGCCCATGTATCGGCAGAGGGCCTCATCGGCGACCGGTTGCGAGGTGGAGAGCGAAATGACCGGTTATCAGGACGGGGGGAGCGGCGAAAGTTGCGTTCCAGAGGACGATAACTCTCTCCTCCGCGGCGTGATTCATCAAATCTAATGTAGGTGTTAGTTTCATGAATATTGCATAAACTGCCGCATGCAAGATGTAAGGGGCTCTATCAGGCTGTGGTCCATTAATTGACAAGCCGTCTGGGTTTTCTTGCGAACCTTCTATCACGATCCATCATTGCCAGCAATTCGCACCTTCCGGCCTGGAACTGGCGTTTGGTCTGGGAATCCGCAAGGCACTCGGGAGTCAGCGGTGCTGTGGCTAGCTGGGGACGGCTTGGAGAAAAGAATAGGGTAAATCAAGCTTAGAGAGTGCCGTAACCACGGTCAACAAGGAACAAGGTCACAGTGTGCCTTGGAGAATCTCGCGGCTCTCCGATGTCCTGTTAAGCTATTAAGGATTAAAAAACGCGATCTTTGGCGCCGAGCCGCTAATCTATATCAGGAATAGTCTATACTGGTGCTTAATTATTATCACGTGATAATACACCTGTAAACTCGACTAACGAGTAGATTGAGGTAGTAGAGTTGTGACGAACAATCGTATTCCTGATTACTACATATATGGCTGCTGTATCGTTCGCCTAAAGGCATATATTTTCCATACATTATAAACGCCCTAACTCTTATCCATACTGTACATATTTGATGCCCCTACCTTACCGCTTGGCTCGCCTTTCTTCGTCTTTCTTTAATCGTTTCCGACTTTCATTAGCAATCATATCGCTGAGATCTTCCTGGAACCAGTTCGGATTCTCCTCCTGCTTTTTCTGAGAATTGTAAAGATTCTTTAGGTTCTCCTTGTCCAGCCCATGGCCTTCCAAAGCTTCAGGGTCCACGGCCACATCAACGTCACCATGTCTCTTTCTCTTTCGGTTCTCATCCTCTTCTCCAAGAACTGGGAGATTGGCTGTGGTTCCTTTAAGATCATAGACCCTGTCACCACCAAAGAATCCTTTGACTTGGGTTTCACGCTCAGGAATGACTTGATAAGCTGATCGTGGCTGTGTCGACTCTTCGGTCTCCGTGCCCCTATGATGCTTCCGAACATCAAACTCGCCGGCAATGCTCTGTGTACCTCCGTATTCGGAAGGTATTGATGAAATCATGCCACTTGGTGTCTCCAGACCACTTGGCGTTTGTAACCCTGCACCAACGTCCTCATCTTCCTCTTCCTCGTCCTCTTCCTCTTCACTCTCTTCTTCTTCTTCCTCATCTTCGGGCGGCTGCAGTTCTCCCCATAAATCCTTCTCGACAGGCTCCCCTTGTTGTACATTTTGCTGAGTCTGCAATACACCAAATATGTCACCGCCATACAATGGTCTGTTGTGTTCATCGACCGGAGGTTTTCCATATCCACCAGGATGATAACCCCACATTGCGCCTGGAGGTGGCGGGGCATTGAGACCAGGTATTTTGATAGCAGGGTATGACGGTGGAGGGCCAAATCGTTGTTGGTTAATTAACCAAGGTGGTGGAGCTCCCGGTGGTATATTCAACGCCTCCTTCAACTCGTCACTAAGTTCTCCAGGCCGTAGGTGCTTCAAGTTCGTCTCAAATTCTTTTCCTTCGTAGTACACCTCGCCATATCTTGTCAACTCTGGTTTTGTCTGGAACCGGAAAAATGCTTCGTAAAGTTTCTGATAATCGATATCAAGTTTCCCCATCTTAGGCTGTACCCTCTCGCGCTGTTTCTGTTTAAGAGTCTGCTGATCCTGTTTTTCTAAAACGGCATCTCTCATCTCCGCGATACCAGTCTCCTGGATGAATTTGGGGAGTTGAAAGGCGGCCTTCTCGATTCCCCTCTTTGAAGACAAGTATTCACGTTTTAACGACCAATGGCCCGGAACAGGCACGACATTGCGATAAGTTTTAATATGGACTAAAAGCTTTGGATCTGAGGCATCCGCATCTGTCCACTCCACAGCCTCGGGTTTTCGAACCATGGCCTTCAACTCAGCAACGGAGAGTTTATTCATCTGCTTGCGCTTTTTCTTCGATATTTTGGCCTCCGCATTATCCTCTTCTTCTTCATCTGGAATGTCATCTTCATCGAAGTATATCTCTGGTTTATCGGATTTTTTGACAGTCGAATCATCCGCTTCACTCTGGTCGAACTTCCCCATCACGTCCTGGTATAACTGAAACAATTCATTATCTGCTTCAGCTGGCGCAAACATGGTAGAAGCATAGTCAAGTTCGTCATTTTGTTTTGAATCCTCTGGCTTGCTCTCGCTTTTGACAGGATTTGTAACGGTTGCAGGCTCTTCGGTTTGGGTCGTTGGTGTCTCGGTGTTACTTTTTGATTGCTCCTTATTACAAGTTAGTTCCAACTCATCGATGTGACGATTCTGGTAGTAAAATACCTCGGCTTTTTTCGCCTTCTTCTTCGCTCTCCTTTGCTGGTTCTTCGACAGCTTTGCGGCCACGGCAGGCATGGTGAAAAAAGTAGCTGCTGACAGCTCAGATGAGCGCTTGTGGGAGATAAAACCGATCAGTAAACGTAACTGCAATATACGCGAGAGGGCTAATGCTATGAACCCAGTATCTGTATCGTTAGTGTAATGGGGTTTGCGACTGTAGGGGTGTTGCTGAACATTGATTGATTTCGTAGTACCTAAATAGCTAACTGGCCTAGCCGTGGCGCGCGCTCAATACATGTATCACGTGATATGGATTTTTTTCCATACCGGAAATATGTAGCTTCATGGTAAACTGACATTATTTGCAAGGTGAATTTCCTTAGGATAGAGGGAAACCTGGCCCAGCATATCTTAGGAGTAGTCATTATAATGGTAAGGTAGTTGGAAAGTTAGATAATTTATGACATATGCGCCGTACCTCTGGTAAGCACATATCTTTCCCGGATGCTAAATGTAAAGAAATTCCTTTTAAAACAAACCCGTTTATAGTACAAATATACATCCAATACAGCTCTTCCAAAATTGACTATCTCTTTTTCTTTGCCGACTTGGACTCTATACATTGATATTGTTAGTTTTTGCGGAGAATTTTGACAGTAAACTCGGGGAGTTACGGGGGGCAAAGGTTCTTGATCACGGGAGTATGCATATAGGTGTAGAATAATGCAAAATTCTCCTGGGGAAGTAAGGATTGTTCGTACCTGCTGCTGTGCGTTTCTTCTTTGGCGCCCCCTTTCCACGGAGTTTCCGTCTGTAGTCAAGCCTGTTAACATTTGTCCCAGTAAAAAGGATACCTCTGCTTTACTTCCAGAGGGTATAGATATATTTATTTTTGAGAGATCGTACATTTGGTTCATTTCCTCGTGATGTGACCTCAATGGATCAAAAGTAATGAGGCCCATGGGTCGATAAGCCCTTTCAAGATCTTCGAACGTCACGGTCTTTCTTGGGTAATACGAAGCAAGAGCGGCTCCGCGTAGTCTTTGGCGTAGGATCTTATTTCCAAGTCGAAGGTTTTCGGGATTGAATGTATGGGAGAAAATACGGCATTGGACCTGGTCAGACCGTACGGATCAGTTGAGATTGTCTTCAGAAATGCCTTGCACAGGGGGTGAAATTTGAGCATTAGCTGGAATCCAAATGAGTGCACACCTTTAACAAATCCAACATCCGCGACCTGGGAGCAGCCATTCTGTCAACTGTGCGGGTTGAAATTAGTTTGAACTTGCTGCAGTGGAAATGACGGTTTCTATCGTTGTCGTTGACGGTTTTCGAATGATCTTGATGCCCACGTTTAGACTTCCTATTCTTGGCATCGGCGCGGCTAGATTTGCCGAGCGTCCTCCAACGCCAAAATCGCAATAGAAAGCTCCAAGTTCACAAATCGTTCAAATTTTATCTCTCTACCAAGTAGGATATTTGTTGTATTTTTACCCTATGGTGATGGGAACTAAACGGGTATCGGAAGCTGAGAGCTCTCAGAATAGTTCCCAGAATTCCAAACGGATAAAAAAGGAAAAGGTATGTAGTTTATCCAACCTAGGCTTCTCCGGGTCTGAATAACTTATCGGTATTATCTGTAGAGACGACCTCAAGAGAAAAAATCCAGCGAAACAAGAACAAATGACCATCCTGCAGACAAGCTACCAATCCAGTTTCAGCTTATACAACTACAAAAACTTACCCGAGATTTACTCGCTCAATCAGACAATATCGAAAGTACAGAAAAAGAGAATGCGAAGGACCTCATAAAAGGATTAAAACGCATAAATAAGGCATTTGAGAATTCAGAAAATACGTCATTGAATTGTACCAAGCAGCTACCACTCCCGCCTATATCGAGTGGTTTACCGTCACCAGCAGGAACACATTGCGATGGCAAACTGCCTCTACTACCTCCTATCGGGGATGAATCCTTGAAAACAGCCGTATTTACACACACTGGTATCATGGAGCGAGGTCCAGTATCCACTCAAACCTCAGAGAAGACATATGACAGGCTGGAAGTACTAGGAGATGCATACATCGAACTCATCTCGACAAGGTTAATATGGGAAAATTTCCCTACCTTGCCTGCTGGGAAAATAGCACAAGCTCGAGAAACCATGGTGAAAAACGAAACTCTAGCCGAATACGCAATAGCATATGGCTTTGATCGGTTACTGAAGACCAGTTCGGATATAAAGAGCGTTTCAAAACGATGGACGAAAGTAATGGGGGATGTCTTTGAGGCTTATGTTGCCGCAGCCATTATAGCTGACCCCAAGGGTGGGCTTCAGGCAGTAGAAAGCTGGCTAACTCAATTATGGCTGCCAAAACTTGCGGAGGTGAAGGTTCCTTTGGCATCAGTGACACTAGCACAGGGAAGTAAAGCTTCTTTTAAAGACAAGCTTGCCGCCACGGTCATGAGCAGAGGGATAAAGCTGCAGTATCTTGAGGAGAAACCACGACAGCGCGAGGGTGGATTGGTTACTTCGTTTATCGGAGCTTACCTCACTGGATGGGGTTACGAGAAGAAGCTCCTCGGATCCGGAAGCGGTTTGAGCAAGTCGGAGGCAGGCAATGAGGCGGCACTTAATGCCCTGAACAATAAGCCTCTAATTGACCAGATCGCTGCAAAGAAACGAGAATACGATCAGAATATGGCAGCTCAGAAGGCCGCTGCCGCAGCAGCAGCAGCGTCAAGTGCAGCAGAGACAAGCTGACATGCCTGCATGCGCCAATGACTATGATGATCCATGGGGTATCCGAGGTCCTCCTTGCCTCTATGTAAGAATATCCATGGAAGTTCGAAAGCATCTTAGCTGAATGAGCTGTATACAAACTTCAATTTTTGCATCTCTTCACCAGGGTCCCTACGTGCAGTTTTCAGCCTGATCACCCAAGGATTCCCAGCTATGGATAACATAAACTGCAAGTCGCATTATAACTACTAGAAGTCGGAATTTGCACACACATTTCTGAACAAAATAAAAATCTCCCTAAGTGCAGTATCTATCAAGGTGCTCCTTTGGTAGCCGGCCTCCAAAGAGACACCAGCTACGTTTCACACCCGCAATCTGAGCACCAATACTACCTATCAGCCATAACTTCGGTGATGCCACCCCCTGAGACGGGGAGGAGGCTGAACGTTATAAAAATAGCTCTGCAAGGTCCCGGCTTAGTCATCCGAACTGACCAATCGCATCCACATGCGACGGCCCGCTCTCCCGAAACGGCAGTTCGCGCGAGTTGTTGCTCCCGTCGAGCGGTTCAGCAACTTTCGACCGCATCAACTTCAACGCTTGCATGTACTTCCTAATCCGACTAAGCGACGCAGCGGCCAAGGAGTGTCGACTGCCGGCTGTCCGCACACCATGGCGACACGTTCACTTAAAAACTACCTGGCAAAGGCCTGACCATCGTTCAACGTTCATATATCTCTGCTCTTACTCTTGGTGATATCTATTCAATGGATGCTGAAAGGCGAAGACGTCTACGGATAGCCGCTGTAGTTGTAACTGTGGCAACGATTATCGTCACTACTCACTACATGTGTCGACTTCAGAGACGTCATCGTCTACGCCGCGAGCGTGAACAACTGTCTCAAGTCCCTTCAAAACGCGCCAAATCCGCAAGGCGTCGTCAACCTCGTGTTTCCCAGGCTCCGTCGAGATGTTAAGCAACTCGGCTAGACGACCAGGAGGAGATCGATGGGGCGGTGAACTGTACAGGGGGGACGCTTTGTCTTCAACAACGCGCGAGAGTGACGGAAGTGCATATTTCGGGGATAAAAAAACATCCCATGTCTCTCCAATGTGACTGCTATCCTCTGGTACGATCTAAATCAAGTTTGGAGTTGCAATGACGTGGAGATAACCGATTCCTGTGATCAGACGCTATTTTTCGTTTCTTTGGTTAACCCTTAGGCTGTCTCGGGCTCGTCAGGCAACTGCATTTTCGATGTAGTTCTGGGCACAAGTTCGAATGCTTCATCTTGGATTACGAATCTTTCTGAAATAACCATAGTGTGGGGCCAGACAGACGTTTTGTTTCTTTAAGCTTAAATGCGAGCAAATGCGAGATTGATACATGTTCAGCCAGGGAGTCCTGCATAGCCTCTCCCAAAGAGGAAATGTTTCGCTCCATGCCTATCCACGGCTGCTGGAGGTGGATGAAAAGGGTATATAAAGTGTTTCTCTGTCTTGTACTTGTTCCTGATATCATGAAAAACATAGCATCGCTTTGGCATAGCATTCAAGTCAGTGCCGTTCTCATCCTTATAAAATAAAAATTCATACACACCCTTTTTGACTTCTCCGGTGTAACTATCACTAGCGCTCTTCGGGTCTTCAGCGTCAATATACTGCGCCAACTAAGCCCTCCCATCAATGCCGGACCAAAGTCTCTACTTTTACAAGGCCTCGTTGCCTGCAGCAGCCGTCTTCGCAGTGCTCAATGCTATCCCTGCAGCTTTCCTCTTCTTCACCACGATAATTGGCCCCAAAACAGGCAAATACCGCAATGCCTCGTTCTTCATCCCCTTGTGCATCGGCGGTCTTATGGAGGTATTGGCATATATCGTGCGCTGCATCAGCATCAAGATGGACAGAGTTATCGCCCTTTACGCAGTGTCAAGTTCCCTCATTGTTGTTGCACCGGTTCTAGTTTGCGCAAGTCTCTATCTCCTCGTCGGCAGGCTGGTCAGAGCCGGCCTCCCATCTTCCGGAAATCAGCAACGCATTCTAGGCATTAATCCTTGGTGGCTACCGCGCATATTCGTCACATCAGATATCCTAAGCTTCTTGACGCAGGCCTCTGGGAGTGGAATCGCGGCGTCAGGAAACTGGGAGGGAAGCACAAAAACAACCGGTGAAAATGTCCTGAAGGGCGGTTTAGCTTTACAGCTGATCACTTTCACTCTGTTCCTGGCTTTGGTTGCTCGATTCCATAGTCGTGCCAATGCCGTGGCTAAGGGTGGTATCGACAGCGGTGTTTTTAAGGTGCTGCTGGGACTGTATATATCGGGTTTTTTTATAGAGGTAAGAAACATCGCACCCTCGAAATTCTGATTTCCCTGCGGGACGGTCCTCCTCCTAACACTCTGCATACAGGTTCGATGCGTCTACCGTCTCATAGAGTTCATCTTGGGTATCGATGGTTATCCTTTCCGCCACGAATGGCCACTATATGTTCTTGAAGGGTTGCCCATGCTATTTGCAATGTTCGCACTCGCATACTTCCATCCTGGAAAGTTGTTGCCAAACGAATCGTTGAATTCCGAGACAGACACTGAGGAGATGCAAAACAGAAATGGGTATTAAAGTCATCGGGATACGTCTTTCCCTTTCTTTTGTTGCCTTGGAGAACTCATTACTTGGCTTGGCAATTTGTCTCCTATATGTCCCATCACAATGCGCCGTTTGGATTTATATTTACGCCCTGAACACACATAACGCCCTTACTCCTTAAATGCTAAACACCGAGCTTTATTTTATTTTTATTTTTTGTTAATCGTCGAGAAATCTGGGAATGGGTCAGTGAGATGTGTCTGGTATTATTTCATGTATCGGTAGCGTTATTCTTCCAGCATTGTATTTTTCAACATGATCCAAGAAGGTTTTCCGTAGCTTGCTCCCTACTTCGTTAGAAAAGATTTTGTACTCCATTCCCCAATAAGCGATAGCCTCAATCGGCCACCTCACATACTTCTTAAGGTGAGACGGCAATTTTCTATAAATGACATCTACCCATTGGACCTGGTATAATGTCACTTCAGGCACCCTTGCGCGCGCAGGGATAACAGATAATAACATTGGAACCATCATTGTCTCAATTGCTATATGGTGGGCGAACAATATGAGGGTTGAGGTATTTTCTGCTGAAATGAATTTCGAGAACTGGCTTGTACTAAGGTTGTACCACGCGGCGTAGTTTTTCTCATATATCAGAAAGGTATCTTCAGAGGAATCTTGAGCTGCGAGAAGGGTATCTAGGAGACATTTCCAGAAATAGGCATGGGTTTCATCTTCCAGCAAGGTAACTAGTGACTGCACTGACTCAATCCCACTTTTCAATAGAATCGGGTTGATGTCCAAGTTGTTAGTGATCTTTGGGAGAAACTCATTGAGATCTGCAGTCTGCTCCACGGGGAATACGCTTTTGCGAGCGTCCTTCTGCTTTATCCTAGTCGTGATCAGAGAACAACCACGAATAAATACCACGAAATCAACAAGTGCATCGAACATATATCCGGATTGCATAGTTAGAGCGTAGCAGGCGGCAAGCATAGCATCCAGCTCTTCGCTGCTGGGATCTGGCTTTGCCAGAAGTTGGTTAAGACCCTTTATTGCCTGTCCCCGGTGTTCAATTGCATTTGCATCAGTGGTCGAGTCTCCATGCGGGCGAATGACGGAAAGATGTGATGCGCCTAAGCCAAGAATGGCATGCATAACGAACTCATGCTGGAATTTAACTTAGTGGGATGGGGAGACCCTGAGTTGAACTATGGGGAGACCTAGAATTACCTGGTGGGCAAGGAGCGGGATAGATGCTACCCAAGCACTATCGCTACCGAATGGGAGGTACGGATGAGCTACCAGCAAATAATGGTGGAAAAAGCCCATATCCTGGAACGAGAACGGCGTTGGATTTGGCTGAAATTGAATAGCTTCAGTAACCCCATGATTATAATTGCTGGCCCGTACTCCGCGCGTCGGGTACTCGCATTTCAACTCCTTTGAGATGCAGTTTTCACATTCGGGCTTCGTCTCTGAACACTGTTTTGCTATGGTAAGTTAAAGGTATCGGATTTATGCGAGATAATAACCAACGAACCTTGATTTTACGTGACTTGCAGTTATAACAACCAAAACGAGATTTGGTATGTGGCCGCTTGGAAACCGCTTTTATCTGACGTCTCGAAACAATCATGTTCATCCCCGTTGAATGAAGCCAGTTTGACGAAGCGACGTTGAAGCTGCAAGCATCCACATGGACGAGGCAGTTGCGTAGAGCTGCCAGTGACTTGGCGCCGACACGCTGTGTATACCCTTAAGAGTATATATAGTTATTGGCACAGTATGGGAGCCCCAGGGTGACGAAAGCAGTTTACGTATTCCGTAGTCGTCCGGCCGGCTGATAGGTAAGGTCTCCGTTGGCGGCCTGGCCTAGTTGAAAGACTGCAACACGAGGAAGGGCAACAACCTCAATGCACAACAATATTCCGGCAGCTAATGGTTATATAATATGTATCTGCAAGGCCCAGTTCCCAGTAAACGAAAAACCGTGGTATTCATAGCTGTCGCAGGTCTCTCTCTGTGCCGGAGCATCGAAGTTGAGCTTGTGCCTCAGCATCCGAGATCTATTAATATCCTCCAATAATCGCACTAGTTAGTTAACTAGTTAGCTGGATATTTATTCTTGTTTCAGGCCGAGGCAATAGAAATCTGAAAAATAACTAGCGGATTGTCAACGGGTTCTGGAGACTGATTCATCAATCCCCAGGCCTGTCATCGGAGAGAGTTAAACTGGCACGGCTAGTCACCCAGCTTGCTGCATCATTAATTTACTTAGAAGCACCTGCAGGCAACTTCGCAACCGGCTTAACTACCGAGGCCGACACGATGTTTTGTTCTTGGGCCTCTTTGTTTCCTAGTCACTAGTTAGCCAGCCAGTAGTTAATTGAGCCCTGAATCGTGGCCCATGGGGGCATCTTGTGGACCACAACAGCAGATAACCACGATCTTCTGAGGCTGCATAACCAGCTCGCTGTTATTAACCCATTTCTAGAAGAGATACGTTACCTCATGAGTTGCACTCCGTAGATTTTTCTTTTTGTAGGTGCACAATATGGTGTAGGGGATCTTCGGAAGCCATATTCACGTTAAAGACCACGACGCAGGAAGAAACCTGCTGAAATATATGCCTACGAGGAGCCCACTGGAGAGAAGGGGGGTTCAATAGCGAACTATGCACCATCGATACTGTACTGGTTGTTAAGTGCGGTTGTGTAGTTAGTAGATTAAGGTACCTAAGTTAAAGACGCGGCCCGAGCTCCGGGTCCATGAAACATTTTTAACTACCTCCAACTACCTACCCAATCTACTACCTAGCGATCAAAGATACCAACAGGTGGATTCATCAGTGATCTAGATACCTCCCAACACAGACATGTTCGCTCAGAGACGTTTAGTGACGTCGTTGAAAGCGGTTCGTCATTTTTCTGCTTCCGCCAGATCCTCTCTGGATCTGGCACATCAAGTCTTTCAAAATCCCCAAGCTGCCGAATCCAACGGAAGGCCGATTATATTCATCCATGGCCTCTTTGGATCCAAGCAGAATAACAGGGGTATGAGTAAGTAAGCAGACACCGCTTGTCTATTATCAACATACTACACCTATATACTGATGCAATCCGTACCTGGCACAGGGTTTTGGCAAGCCAACTGGGAACTACGGTTTATGCTATTGTGAGATAAAGCATGCTCTTTAATTTGGATGTGCATGTAAGATGAGAACTCAACATTGACTGGATTCATGGTCATTTTAGGACCTTCGAAACCATGGTGATTCCCCGCATGTACCGGAGCATAACTACGATGTTATGGCGGATGATGTTGAAAATTTCATAAAGAACCGCAACCTGGAGAAGCCAGTACTACTGGGCCATTCAATGTTGGTGCTTAACCGTATCATCGCCACTAATAGAACTACAAACCTGCTAATAACTGCATTAGGGGAGCCAAAGCAGCAATGCATCTTGCTCTCCGTGCTCCAGATCTGATCTCTGCAATCATATCCGTGGACAATTCGCCAAACAAGACGAAACTGAGTGAAAGATTTCCGGCATATATCAAATCTATGCAAGAAATTGAAAATGCTGGTGTAACCAAGCAGAGTGAAGCGGACGAGATTCTGCGGCGTGTTGAACCGGTGTGTTTTACATAAACTGCCCCTACCAGTCTATGCATGTCTGGCTAACATCTAGCTAGTCACTTCCTATTCGGCAATTCCTTCTTACAAACCTTGCCAGGGAGCAAAGCGGGCAGGCTTTACGGTTCCGAATCCCTTTAGCAATTCTTGGTGAATCATTGCCACTTCTAGGAGACTTCCCATTTACTCAATCAGATACCGTTCAGTTTAGCGGTCCAGCTCTCTTTCTTCGTGGGACTCGAAGCCGATATATCACGGACAAGTCGTTTCCCACCATCCGGCGTTTCTTTCCGAACTATAAGTTAATGGACATTGATGCTGGTCATTGGCTAATATCTGAAAACCCCGAGGCTTTCAAAACAGGCATGTTAACCCGGTGTTAGTTGATTTTGTGACAAGCTATTACTAACTCTCGAATTAGCCGTCGTGAATTTCATGAAGACTCTTGATTAAGCGCTGAACTACTGCCCATGACATTCATTAGTGTATTTGTATAGTGCTTGGAGAGATTGGAACTAGATCATAGGGACAGAGCATTTTGGCTTAGATATATTGGTGGCCATCATAGATTATTACAGTTGGTACAAGGGGTCTTTATTACAACTTACGAGTTCGTACGTTTAGAAAAATACAGGACACACTTGACTTTTATCATGAACTGTTTGGATAAGGAGGCATAAAGGAGGTTTGGTTAACATAGTCAAAAACACCGAGGAGAGGGTACAGAAAACAGTTAAACAGCAGCGCCCTTTGTTATTTCCCTTTTGAAGTAAAGAAATAAGCTCTGCCATTTATATCAAGACCATACACAAGGGAGGATGGGCGTTAAATTCATTAATTTTTAATTCCCTCCCAGCTCTCAAATATGACCTAACACTGACCACGACTCCTCCCGCTGTTATTTCCGTGGTAGTAAAAGAGACATTATTTTAGATGCTTAGACGCTGTCCAAAACCTTCTCCTTGAATTCTCGCTCGACCTGTTGCAAATGGGTTAATAATCAGGCTGCAGGGGAATAAGGAAAAAAGAGTATAGAGAGGCTGATTGACTTGACTAACCTTCTGTCCCTTGTCATCAGTGCTGGACTCGCCGTGGAGAGCCAAAAGAGCACCCAAGTCGAACTTGGGTGACTTGAGGAGCTTAACCTTACGGATGTGAACCTATTTATCGCATATCAGCACGGATCTTGTCTAGTATGATTCGGCAGAAAAGGAGGGCTGAACGCACGTTCTGGAGAGGGTAGATGCCCTGGGTGGACTTCTCGATTTCGCGACCAATAACCTCGGGGACGAGCTTGGTAAGCTGGGTAAGAGTGCAGCTGGATGCCTGGCGCTGCATAATCTCGGTCATCTTCTTGCGAATGGCACGGATCTGAGAGCTCTGGGCATAGGTGGTCTTCTTGATCTGGTTTGGTCGTCGCTTGGTGAAGGCAATGGCGAAAAGGCGGACTAGGTAGTCATCGGTGGTCTTGACGGTGACGTTGGCCTCGATGAGGGTTTGCCATTTGCGGACAAGAGATCGGAGCTTGTCAGATGTGAAGTCCAATCCGTGGAAGTTGGTCAAGCAGTTCTTTCCCTGGACTTCATCGACACGTAGCTTGACCTTGCGGAAGGAGTGGGCTTCATCCTTCTGGAGATCGGCAAGAGAGACCTCGAAGACACGGCCCTTCAAGTAGTCGTTTGCGTTCTTGAGACCAGTGGTTCGGTTGACGAGGGTTTTACCAACACTTTACACAAATCAAGATCAGCTCGCTTGTTCTCCTGCATTGAATTCCGGATAGGAAGAGGGGTTTTCAATTATCTAGATGGAGGGTCATACTCTCGGACTTGGAAAGTGGTAGGGGCCTATATTTATTTCGGGTCGTTAATCATCCATATTCCAGTGCGATTAAGGTCGCGATGTCAAAAACATCAAGGGGACAGCACATACCTTCACGAGGTACTCATCCTTTCGTGTGAAAGGGTCCACGGTTCTCTTCTTGAGGCCCTTCTTGCCCTTCGACAGACGCTTGTTCCTGGTTTCCGCGGTGGTTAGAGATATTTCCTGACGGCAGTAAACATGCTGTATACAAGGATATGCTCACTTTCCAACAGCCATGATTGCGATTCGGGGTCTATCTTTTGCAGTTCCGAAAGACAGACAATCCGTTGGGCGTCGATGGGTTCAAATCGTGGTGGACGTTGTCGGCGTTGTGATATTGAAATCAAAAAAATCCCACAAACTTCCCACTAAGCGAGTTGTGCGCGCTAGCCCATTTCCGATTGTGTGCTTATGTAAGGTGTCGGAAGCTGTTTTGCGCTAAACCGAATATAGACGTGTGAAGAAATTTGTCATGAGATATGATTATGTAATTCGTACTCGCTATGTAAAAAAGTGCGCAATTCGTATCTCAAGAAAAGCCCAAAGATGCAACAACCAGAGCCTATCCTTCTAAATAAGACCGTAGACGGAAGTATTTGAGAGTGCAAGAGTCACCCGGAGTGATATATTCAGCCTGTCGAAAGTGTTGGCTTGCTCGATCAGTGCTAATAGGGTGTTAGAACAGCGAGACTGTATACCATATAACGTTCCCGGATAACTTACATCAACATCATCCCACTGACGTCCTTGGACATTCGAAAGCTCCTCTAAATTCATAACTTTACCGCTGGTGACTATGGAGATTTAAAGTTAGCCTGAGCATAGCTAGGTATGTGGAGCAAAAACTTACAGTAACCAGCATGGATCTTTGCATCGATCTCGACTCTGCTATCCTCTGGTATCAAGTCATCTGGAATGGGTACCCGTTCAATGATTGGAATGCCTTGTTCAACAATTGCATCGTGTTTCATGCTGGATAAAGGTTAGTCCTAATCGGGCACTACGGCCTTGACAGCGGGATACTTACTTGGACATGCTGAGCATTCGATCAATCTTGGTGATACCCAACCAATGCAGAATCTATGCCGTGGTTAGATGGAACGTTATTGGAGACAGCTACAATACTTACATCCGGCATTAGAGCTTGGAAGCGCATATCCTACTATTTGTTAGCACACAATTTGGACTAAGAGTGACACAGGATGTACCTTAACACCAGCAATATTCTCTGTTCTCTTGAAGTACTCGCTTGCACCTTCAACAGGGTTAGTAATACTCGAAAAATTGAAAAAACTGAAAGACATACGATCAGAACCTCGTTTACCTGATGGACGTTCGTCAGCTTGCAATTCAGTGGTAGATGAACAGAGTGAACCTACGGGCATTATAGACCAGATATTTCGTGACTTCACCGAGTGCTCGTCCTTCCTTTCGGAAATATATGACCACACCACTGCCACCCTTCTGAGCTTCCTTCACAGCTTCTTCGACCCCAAAAATGAGGTACGGACGGCAAGTACAAATATCGGAACCGAACACATCACTACCGTTACATTCGTCATGGATACGCAGAGCCAGCTTGACATTTGGGTCGGACATTTTTGCGGGATCGCCGAAGATATACACTGTCAGCCCTCCAATTGGCGGTAGGAAGACTTTGATGTCTCCTCGGGTAATGAGCTCTGGGAACGATCCGCCGGTGACCTCAAAGAGTGCACGCCGCAAAGTGCCCTCGTCTACAACCAAAGATGTTAGCACAGGCTAAAAACAAGAGGAAACCAAAAGGACAAACCTATGCCAAACCGTTCAGCCACCCCGGGAAGGTACCAGACTGGTTCTACAGCGACCTTGGTAACAGCCAACTCTCCTGTCTCATTGAGGCAAATCTTCCCGTCGGGAACTAGTCTGCCTGAACGAACACTATCAGCAAGCTCCGGCAATTTCATGTGCGCTCGAGTGATGGCAATGGTCGGACGGATATCCAACTGGTGATCCGTCCTCAATTCGTCGAAGAGCCATGGGGCAAGATGACCCCACGGATCCATGGCAACTATCTTTTTCTTATCACCCCATTGCGGGAAAGGCCCAATCTTCGTTGCGGGTTCAGTGTTGGTAAAATCCGGTCTATGTTCGGTATCTAGATTGTTGCTAGCGACTGCGAGAGCATGGTAGATCGAGTAAGATCCTCCATGCGCCCCAATGGCTGCAGGATAAATGAGGCTTGTTAGCGGTGAGCTTTTAAACGTTCAAGGAGTGACGTGTCACCTACCATTTCGTCTTCGAACAGTATCATACTGTCTGCTGACAACAACAGGCCCTCTAGCCTTTGGATCTATGTTACCCCAGTCCATCTTGATAGGGTCAATACCTGATTGACCTGGATAGGTGGTGAGAATTATGCGAGATGTTCCGCCACGCTTTGGGGATTTAACTGCGGTGGGTGATCTGGGCACACCCGTTGTATCCTCTGCAGCTGACCTCAGACGCCCATCCTCCCCAACGCCAGATGTAGGTATTGATTCTGGTGGGAATTCTCTATCGAGTGATTGCTCCTCTGTCATCATCTTCACGATATCCTTGTTGAAGGATATGTTCTCGATACGCCCGTTCATTGCGTCAAGAAGGAGACTCAGCCTCCCATGGTCAAGCTCGAGTCTTTTTACCGCCGCCAACACCTGTACGAGGATAGGATTCTCTTTTTCATCGGCTGTCTTGGATGGTGGATTATCCGAGGTATCTGGGTTCTCTTGCTTAGCCGTCGTCTCCTTCGGCACCGTCGGTTCGGTCTGTTCGCCTTTGGACGTCATGATTGAGCCTAATTAGGTCAGATAGATGGGATAGGGGTTAGCCAGAGGAATAGAATTCTCCCTGTGTGCGCCGGTGAAGCTCTATCGGGGGTCACCGCTTGTATGAAAGACGCAATTATCCAGTAGCTAGAGCCAACTCCAACGGCCGAGTAGGGAGAAGAGGCCTTATATAGCCCAGAAATTTAAGAAATGACCGGTTATCAAAAGAAAGGAAAAGAACCAAGAGGAAGAAGAAGTTGGAAACTAATATAGAAGTGTCCGGCATCTTTATATTCCCAGCAGGACTAAAGAAGTAACACTAAGTAAGGTTCCTGTCCAGGGTCTCGTGATGCGGGGAGAATCAGCTTCCTTATCTGGAAATTCTGATTGGCCCCAGCTTTAGGGTGGGTCAAAATTATTGACTAGACCTGTCCTGGACTAGTGGTAAACTCAAGCCTTCCTTTAGCTTAGTCAGCCTGACGTTTTGTTCAAAGTCGCAAGAGACAAGCTGCGACATCGAGCTAGCAAAAAAGACCAAAGAAGCAGCAGGACTGATATCATTAATACCACTTCGTTGGTCGAGTATTTCCCGTCCTCATCTACCAACATCCACCTTACGAAGTGACTTGAAAAGCCGTTGCCTGGCTGGATAGTGAAAGATTCCTACTAATATCAGGCGGGCCACTCGATATGGTGCGAATTTCAGCTCTCTTCTTTTACGACGTATAAACCCGTACTAATATTTCTCTTCTGTTCAGGGAAAACGCAAGAAGTCATCGCGGAACACAATTAAAGGCCCCAAAAAGGTTCGCTCTTGCCTACCACCTTTGGTCTATTCTAAAATTTTGGGTGTGCGTGCTAACACCAGTTGCTCTGAGCTACACAGAGCGAGCCTCTTCCTACAACGTTCGACTGCCTATTCTGCAACCATGAGAATTGTGTGCTTGTGAAACTCAATAAAAAGTTGGGGTTTGGAAATTTGTCTTGTAAAATATGCGGGCAGCGGTTTCAGACAGGGATCAACTGTATGTCCTATAATCCTTTCCCGAGCGCAGTGTCAATATCTGAACTAACCTCTACCTTTTTTCCTTGAATAATAGATCTCTCTGCGGCTGTGGATGTATACTCTGATTGGGTCGATGCTTGCGATGCTGTTGCGAAAGAGGGACCCAAAGAAGGGGCGGGGTCTAGTGGTGGCAGAGCGGATCATGACGGCCCTTCTGCCTCTGTTGCGCCAGCTATAATTGATGAAGGACTTGATGATGACTACTAGACGCTGTTCTGTTCTCCGCTACCCTTTATCCGCTGGTATCTTCTTTTTATTTGGCGTTTAGGATGGGCTTCTTCCCTGGGGTTAAGTGGCATATTTATCTGGGCACATGCATACATATAATTACGGAAATACCAAAGGGAAGCCTTTAATGGAGTCATCATCTTCGTTCTAAAATATTTCATAGTGATATATTGATGTATGTGACAGCTTGGTACTTAGCCGTCAGAAGGCACCATCCGAGCTTTAAGCTTGGTTTAACTGGACAGGGGATAACATCCGACACCAGAATACACTTCAACAACCTATAACTGCAGAGATACGAATGCCATATACCCTAAAGAGTATAGTATCTGTCTCCAAAATCACCCAACCCGGGTATTATATACCTAAAAAGACGGGGGTTAGCAATGTTGATCATTAACGAAGTGCCAAGTACGACGGAAGACGAACTTCTTTTCATCCAACCCTTGGTCGATGAAAGCGGTAACAACCCTGAGTTTTGGGAACCTCTCAGCAAAGTCAGCAACTCCCGATGGGCTGGCAATGAGATTTATAAATAAAATGTGGTCTTCTGGTACGCCCTTCGACTTTAGAACTTCAACAGCCATGGTAGCAGAGCCGCCTATTCCGAGTCTGATTAGCATACTGTAAACAGTTGAGACACCACTGTATGAAACATCTGCTACTAGTTAATCCTTACCAGTGGCAAACATCGGGTCAAGCAGCAGCACCCATCTCTTTGATATATCCTGCGGCAGTTTTTCATAAAACAACGCAGGCTTGCATGTCTCCTCGTCCCTTTGTATCAGAATCTTTCCAATCCGAACGGATCTACAGCAGTCACGAAGACCCTGCTCCATTGCCTCGCCGGCACGCATGATGGAAACTCCGCATATTTTACCCTCGAATCCAACTCCACCATAAGTATGGCCGACTGGGGTCGTGACCGTCTTCTGCACGACAGGGAGATGATTCAGTCCTTCTTCGACGAGTAGACGGATGATACGATTAGAGTAAAAGACGAAGTCTGCTCGACAGGTCCGCTGGTCCCGGATCATACTGTTTTTATCCCCAAAGCAAGTTAACCAAGGGTCCGGTTGCTCATTATGCTGGAAAAACTCACGTCAAGAGCGCAATCAGCTGCGGTGTCTGTGGCAGCACACACACATTCTCATATTTCACGGCCTTCGACACAGTAGCAAGCGGTTTTTTATCATCTGGCATAGATACTGGCCCAACTCCCCTGACTGGTCCAGGTTCGTTAGATGCCATAGTGATTTGTTGATATAGCTTGCTACCAGCTTCGACCAGGACAATAGACAGCTCTTCCTTTCCTAAAACGCCCCTAGCAAAACCAAAAATCAAGCATAAGAACTATACGACTGCTTCACAAGCAGCTCCGTATGATATCACAAACTTGAGGAGATTTTGATATTCACTGCGTGGGAAGAAGAGCTTTAATTAACGACAGAGGTTGTTTAACTTATGTGCGGGGAGGCGCTTAAGCCATGTGATGAGGCTTGATGGAAAACAGTCAAGACAACTCGCTAGCTATCATATAAAAAGCAAAGAATACAATAATGGGGAGCATGTTTATCCTAGAGAGCTGAGAGCGTATTCTACATTTAGTTCCTCTAGCTCTCGAGTTAATGTGCTCTCGGTTGTTGTTTTCGTTGCCGCGTAAATGAGAGGCACCTGAACGTTTACCCTATTTAGACAGGCTAGGTTAGCCTTTGGAAGATATTTTGCAGGCGACCCCAGAGCTCCTAGGTACGTCTGTTGTACAAAATTTTTGGTCTGATGCTGGCGGTTTTGCTGGTATCTTACACGGTACTTGAAGTAACACTGTTTGCCTAGGTTTAAATAATCCAATATCGGCGGAGGATGAGGCTGAACGAGATCACGGGGTTTAGCCACTTTCCCATATCGG